TTGATGTTATGATTCTAGATGGGGTGGAGTTTGGAGTGTCATGTGATGAGAGATCCAAGAAGCCTATCGCTATAAACATACGGCAACTTCCTCCTGGGTCTGCCTCYTTTGAGGTAGGTGTAGAATMCTGGATTCCTGCCCTTCTTAAGACTAAATCATCATTATATTAAAGATAATTTTCTTTTTTTACTAGATATTCAGTGAGGATAAGATGATGGGTGTTGTTGATGCTGAGCCCAAAACTCAGCCAAGATCACCAAGATCGGTAAGTGTTAATAGTCTACAAATTTCATAGCTGTTTCCTGTAGTACATTCAAAGTGGAGAACAAAAATGATAATGTATTTTCTGTTGTTTCAGCCAAGCAATGGCTACATTGAACCAGAGGGTGGTCGCATTTGCTATGAAAGAAAAGGGGTATGTGCAACAAAAATGGCAATGATGTCATACAGTTATCTCCAAGTTTGATGATATATTACTTAATATAATTTTGTAGGAAATTTTTTACCTGAATTTTTCACTCCTGGATTGTACTAACCCAGCAATTCCCCTTCACATTGGTGACAAAGTTCAGTTTATAGTTGCAACTGATAAAAGGTAGGTGTGTTTATTTTGTTCATTTTTTTCCCTCTCACTCGTTTGTCCATTCAATCATATGTGTATCCATTTAGTCATTATTTTATTAATTCATTCATAAGGAGTGGTATTGTAAGAGCTAAAGATGTGGAGCTGGTAGAGTCAGCCAAAGCAGAGAAATATCAAGTAAGTTGTTTTAAAATTTTTGAAATATATAAAAAAAAGAATGGTGAAGCACAAAAAACAACAGCAAAGAAATAAATAATTACTGTTTTGTTGTCTCATTGGGCTCTCTGACACACTGATGTTCGTTTCTTCTCGACGTTTCAACGCCATTTTGGTCGTCATCTTCAGGATTTTATTGCATAGATTGAATCTTTACAAAGATTCATTACAAAGATTCAATCTATGCAATAAAATCCTGAAGATGACGACCAAAATGGCGTCGAAACGTCGAGAAGAAACGAACATCAGTACGTCAGAGAGACCAATGAGAGAACAAAACAGTAATTACACTAAACTCACCAATAAGGGTTTCARATCTACAAATAATTACTAATAACTTGTTTTCAGTTTTATTAAAGTCAAATGTATTCTCATTTAATCTCATATTTTGTTGTGCTGTCTTCAGGGAGTTGTTTCATCAATGAAGGAATCGTTTGGTTTCATTGAAAGAGCAGACAAAGTCAGCGAGGTAATTCTGGTGCATTTTYTATGGTGTTGTACTAATATTTATGCTCTGTTTATGAATTATGGTTAAAAGAAATAAACAACAGTGCAATCATCTCCTAAACCAAGAAAGTTTACGAATTCTGTGATTATTTATTTACTAAAAATTCTTATAATGTGAAATTTGCAATTGCAGTGTTTTTCACTCAACTTGTTTTCTTTTTCCTTTTTCCAGATTTTCTTTCACTACAGCGAGTTCAAAGGTGATGTCAATGAACTCATGCTGGGTGATGATGTGGAGTTCACCATCCAACCAAGAAATGTGAGTGATTGACTAAATCCCTAGTATTTASATTAAMCAAAAAGTATGYTTCAATSACTAAGGCTGGCATRTTTTCTTAGGGMAAAGAAGTAGCTGTACGTGTKGAGAAACTACCTGAAGGAACAGTCACATTTGAGGACATCAGTGAACACAGCTACACTGGAGTAGTYGACAAGGCACTCAGCAAGTCTGTTGCTAAGAGACAGCATGACCCATTGCATGGTAAAATCATTTATGAAGGTGACGACGGAACTGACGAGGAGATCGTGTTCAGTGAAAGAGATCTCCATGGCGAGTTTACTCTCAGACCTCAAGATGTTGTGGAGTTCAACATTGCAGTTGGTAAGACAACCAAACTCAATCAGCTAAATATTTCAGAGTTTGGCTTAAAACACCGTAGTATTAATGAAACTAAATTGTATTTGTACAGATCGCCGTGATTTCCTGAAAAGAGCAACTAACATCAGGCTTGTGAAAGTAGCTGATCCACAGAATGGCGATCTGCGAGAAATGGTATGTACATGTATCTAAAAAAACATGTTTTAAAAAATCTAGAGCTAGTTTACAGTGTGCTTTCTACCAATAGGGTTGGATCTCTGCACTGAAGGAAGGGTTTGGATTCATTCGTTGCTGTGACAGAGATGCCAGGATGTTTTTTCATTACAGTGAGCTACTTGATGCCGTGAGTAATGTCAACATTTTTGTACATAACTTTCAATCTAGGAACTCTTGATTTTTGCGGTTGCATAAGGCTCTACAATGTATTTGATTAAATCCTTTAAAACAAAGTTATCTTCAATTTCAGAACCATCAAATTCAAGTTGGGGATGAAGTGGAGTTCAGTGTCACAGAGGTAAGCATTAAACCCGAGGTCAGTTTTCAATATTTCAAAACCATAAATACAAATGTAATTCTATTATTATKGTTTATTTCAGGATATATCTGGTTCCAAGAGGCTGAATGCGATCAGAGTCAGAATCCTTCCAAAGGGAACCATCAAAATTGAGGTCTGTTKTATAAGAAGTTCTAGCTTTGAAACATGTGTTGGGGTCCCTGTGTAAATGTTTATATAAACTCATTGTGTTTTGGGTTTCCTGTGTAGTCTGTTTCCTRTTCACAACCAAATTAGACATTTTAACAACATCTGTGATATTCAACAGGATACAACTGGAGTGAGGTATGTCGGCCACGTTGAAAGAGAGCCATCTTTTGGTGGGAAAAGTCCTAGAAAGCAAGACTCCAACAGGTATGAATATTATCATAACAGTAGAGTTCCTTTGTAATCATTATATACATGGATATTGTTATTCTGCTATGACTGTAAATGTGTAATTTATCTKTGTTATCCTTTGTAGGGATAGTGAATCTGGTCTGATCGGCTTTGAAGTTAATGGCAAAAAAGAAACAGTAACATTTGACTTGCAGAATTCTGACCTGCGTCGCTCAGCTCAGTTTGGAGATAAGGTGAATATTGTAGGGTAGAATGGTGCAAGGAACTTTACAATGCTCAAAACTTGATTGAGAAAGCCAATAAAAAGTTTTTAACTATAATACTATGGCACCGTAAAAAAATATTACACTTTTCTGCAGTATTCATTGAAAAAGAAAATTCAAAGATACTGTAGATACTCTGTGGGACTGTGACAGTAATTTTTTTTAACATGTGAGTGCTAGTTTTACAGGATTTCAAAGTGATAACAAATTATTATTGTTATTATAGCTTATGACTTTGTAATAATTTAGGTTGAGTTCAGCTTGTGTGAGAGCAATCGAACTGGATACCGCAGAGCTGTGAATATTGAAGTCTTGAAGAGGAACACTGAAATTATTCATCAGGTACATCTTTCATGACTCATTTGATAACTTTCCCTTGGAATATACACATTTGCATATAATTATGGCAAAGTAATTGTTTATATTTAACGATTTTAAAGGGGTTTGTGGCTACTTTGAAAGAAAACTTTGGATTCCTGGAGACAGCTGATCATGATAAAGAAGTATTCTTTCATTATAGGTTAGTAACAGGAACATTGTATTTATTAAACTATTTTCTTGTCAACTTTCAAAATGTTGGYTGTCTGGCCACACACAAAAGAATTGACAAGGCTCAGTTTCTTAATTCCCCAGAGCCTCATCTTCATTTCTTTTGTGTATCACCATCAGTCAGTATGTGAAAGTCGCCTATTGCCTAGCAGGAAACAGCAATTTCTCCCATGTACATTGTTGGATGTTGAAAATTTGCACTTTTYCAGTGAATACGATGGCGACCCAAATGAACTCAACATAGGAGAYGAAGTAGAGTACACCCTCAAGATGAAGAGCTTTAAAGTCAGTGCTGAGGGATTGATCAAACTTGCTCCAGGAACCATCAATCGGGAGGAGATTCAACCAGAAGTGTATGATGGGAAGGTGGTGAGACCACTGCGCAGGGCAGACCCACAGGTACATATTAGATACAAAACAGYYATGCATRTCTCYATGGCGATATRATTAGAGATGTRARAATAATAAGAGGATAACGTGAGCATATCAGGGCAATTTGTTGTTCCCTTGTGAGTTGAATTCTTTGATTTACCCCCATATTCAAGTATCTTCAGATCAAGCATTGATTAGRAATAAAGAACTGAACTCCATTAGGTCAGAAATCGGAAAAACATTGGTGAGCAAGCCAAGGAGGTCTATTCATATCAGTGCAAAGGGGAATAAAATCAGTTTGAAGTCAGGAGCTAATAGTTGAGAAACTCAAATGTAGACGATTCTTAAACTTAGCACTTCATTTTTTTTCAGGAACTAGAAGTTTAGAAACTTGCACAACTAAACCCAACTCATTACCTATTCCTTTCCACTGCTAATTTTTAAAAAAAGCAATATCAGTGCATTATAATATTAATTGTTATTGCTACCTTCAAGCAACTTGAATTCATTCTTTCAGCAACTCGAGTATACTGGTCTCATTGAGTGCATCCCAGAGGAACCATCCAATGAAGAGAGTAGCACCACCTCTGTCCAGTCCTTCACGATACAGTATAGCATTATCAGTTTGGTTGACAAGAAAACTGTGCTCCAGTGTGGCGACAAGGTACATTAAAAAACCCATAAATGCGAAAAATCCCAAAAAATGATACTTTTCTCAATCCATGTTGTCTTTTTTAAGGTTCGTTTTAAGATTGGTATCAACAAACAAACTGACAACCAACTTGCCATGGAGGTCACCCCTGAGAGGARCCGTGTCAGAGCCAATGTTGAATCCATCAAAGGACAGGTAATGCTTTTGGGTACCCTGTGTATTGTACAGCTGCAAAGGGGCTGGGTGCGAGTAAAACAATATACTGCTTGGAACCAGGCCCTCTTATTCGTCTCTACTTAATATTATTTCTCCTCATTATATCATTATGGGGAAACAAATACAAAAAAATTTGACATTTTTCAATATTTATTTGGTTCCAGTTTGGCTTTATTGCCTACGAGAACTTCGAAGGCAAGAACTTGTTTTTTCATGTTAGTGAGGTTGCTGATGATGTTGAACTACAGGTATCTMTTCTCTATTATATACAAATTGAACAAGAACTTTATTTAACCGATTTTATATATGATTTTTGTCGTAGCCTGGTGATGAGGTAGAGTTCTACGTTGTCCAGAAAAGAGGTGGTAAACTGAGTGCCATTGATATCGTTCGCATCAGGTATACATTTACGATTATTTCCTTGGCAAAAACGAATTCTGGAGGAGCACTATTATGTTTTTAAGGGGGTGGGGAGGGGGTAGGATGTGTACGACAATGTGGCTTTGATTTTTTTCTAACTCTTAAAGAGTTTAAGAGACTGTTTTAGTTATTTTTATTTTGTTGTTTTGAAATATAGCGAAACACAAAGACCAGGACGCTTGCAGCTKAAGCAGAGATCAGTCTCAGACGAAGGGAACAAGAACAGGTAGAAGAATATTTCTTCAGTTTTATTTGCTCTAAGCAGTATTACCACCATTACCACAGTCTTGGACACCATTACCACAGTCTTGACAGACAGTCATAACTTGTCTGCTGACAAACTGTTGAAATACTGAATGATTTCTACTCTCCACAGGTTTGAGGCTATTCGAAAGCCACTTGGTCCCGATGGCACACGTGGTTTTACATACCAAAGAACACTCAAAAACCCAATCCAGTCTCACGACATTCCTTCAGAGCCACAGGATACCCAAGCTGACGAACCCGGAGAGCAAAACGAAAACGAGGGCGATATCTTAGAAGAATTAGTAGCAAAGCTTTGTGATCTAGATTGATTGGTTAATGCGGTGATGAACGAGTTTGATTGGATGGTGTAAATTGTAAGATAWTGATTGATCAATTGAGTATTAATTCATTTGATTGGTCCTGGACGTTGATTGGTTAAGATGTCGTTGTATCTGGGAAATGCCTTTTATTATTGTCGTATATTTTTTGCTTAGATGTCTTTAGGTTTTATTTTGATGTTATGTGTCTGTAAACTAAAGTATAGAATAAATGAATTTGCAAGTGCAGAAGTGTTTTGGTCTTGGAGCGGGTTGAAAATATATGATTCTAAAGGTGCGTTTACACTTTGCGACTTTGCTCTCGTACAACTCAAATCATACGTGTAACATGGTGTAAACACCCCCTTTGATTGTTGGAAGTTGCAGATAAATTTCGAACATGCGCAAAACTCGGTGCAAACGGGACTTGATGGCGAATAAGGAATTGGATGGAAGAATCATTCAACTTCATTAGGGTAGTAATTTGTACAATTCCCAGCTTTCATGACGGAGGTCAATATCAGAAAAAACGTCTTCATGGTCGTCATCTATGCAGTCACCTCGGTCACGGTCTGTAATTAGATGTAAATAAGGTAGACGCGAGTCACTATCTTTCATTTGCCTTTACGTATAGTTTACAACACAGACGCGAATGTTGTAAACGATTTATAAAACTCCAACACAAATTAACATGAATTACAGTGAGATAAATGACGAAAAACCTTTTTGATCAAAAATCGGGAGATAAATGACGAACAAGGTAACTGTTGAGTTTAGTCGCTATTAAGCATGCGCAATATACTGGAACAGAGAACATTTTGAATAATTATTAATCCCACATGGAAAGCAAGTCATCTGTTACGAAGGGCGTGCTGCTATCTGCCTTTCTCTTTTGTATAATGAAGAATTGTCGAACCTTTTGCCGTCGACAGTGTAAAAGGTGCATCCTATTGTACCAATTATCGCGAGGTACCCACCAGGACGAACCATGATGAGCTTTAGAGCTAAAAGATTTCTCAGCAGGCATCTAAAAGGTGCTGTTCATAAGCCAATTAACACAATTTCTCTTTGATTGATTCAATCAGTACGGAGAGTTCATATATCAACCACATCATAGTCAGTGTATATTTTTAGATTTTTGAATGGCAGTTTTTGATGCATAAAGATGCATAAAAAATATTTTATTTAACCTTATGACTATTGAAGCTTCATGTACATCTTGTAAAATTCTATTCGGCAGGAATTTTTGGAGATTCTAACAGCGCTCTTCAATGTCGAGGCTGTTTATAGCTAAAAAAATTTCGAAAGAAGAAACACCTACAGCGCAGTAAAAGTTTATCAGTAATCAATCCGCGAACAAATAATTCTAGAGCTGTTTTTATCCGTAATATCTCACTAGTACCTTTCTGGGTGCAGTCATTTATGGTCGGTGATTTCGTGATTGACCTTTGAAAAAACTTTCCGATCGACTCGAGCGAAAGTTGCCGCTTATTAAATATCAGTTGTTCGGGTTAGTTTTTTTTGGTATGAGCCAGAACTACAGCATGTTTGTTTAGTACTGTAGCACTAGCTTTTAGTACTTATAGCGCCTAGCCCTTGTAATCCGCATACCGAAGGTATCATATTACATAGTGTTAATTAAAAGTTTTCGAGCCTAAGCTCATCATGCGGCTTGGCAAGAAAAGCAAAATTAAAAATAAACCGCAGAGTAACTATGCTCTGGCTCTCCGGCTTTTACTCATAACCGTGAATTTTAAATGAATGTTAATTCAATTCCTTTTAACTAAATCACAAACGTTTTATTTTATGGCAACATTTTTGCAATAGACCTCTGAATCTTTTACGTCATGTATCGTACGCAATGCATTGTAGGATATGTTTGGGACGAAACATGGCGGATTTCTTTTCACAATGCATTGAAAAATCTATACTTAAGTAAAAGGTTAGAAGTCTATTACCTGAAGATTTTCAAATGGTATAGACTGCGTACTTAAATGTAAACGCCCGCTGGATGTAACTCTAGCTAAAATGTTACAGATTTCCAGTTACGCGCAGACAAATTCTCCTATCCTCAATATCTGTTTATGAACACTAAGCTAAGGTCTATTATTTAACTACAGAAATCAAGAAACAGAAATATATGATTTTTTTTTCATTCATCTGGCGGTGGCTGCTGAGGAAGTATATCTGGTAGAGTGAGACATCTTGATGCACTGGAGTCGCTGGATGACCGTGCATCTAATGCTCTTGCATTAATAACCTGTAGGCTGTTGATGAAATAGTTTTTTTCTGGTTACGGTGTCACATCGTGAATATGGTCTTTTCGAATGTGATGTGGTTAAAATTGAATACATGTAAATGAAATCAGTTCTTAGAGTCTGTTTCAGTAGAAGATTGCATTTAATTTGTGAATGTAATTGGTACACGTGAACTTCGGCGTTTAACCTGGGCCTTTTATCACATTTAGGTGAGACAAGATTAAGTCTACACAAATGCATCTGTTGTAATTATATCTGATCTCTTACAAAGCTTTAACATACCTTCGAGTATCGCTCGATACGTGTTCCACTGCACCAACGTTAAATACAGCTCCCACGCCCGCTCCTGGATGGAAAACGTTTTGCATCTGAATAACTGAAGGTGGCGGAGGTGGCGGAAGTGGCGGAGGATTTTCTAATTTAAAGAAAAAGTAAAGAAAAGAAAAGTAATAAGTCTATTTTTAAAAAGACTATACATATGTATAAGATAAAATAAAGTATGTTTGTCCCGTGTCGGTACGAGTGCTCAAGTAAGTAGAGCGGAATATATATACATTTTTACAAGGACTATAAACTACTCTCGAGTTTCACGCAACTTGTGCGATCATCATGCTAGTGATCTAATTGTTCGATGCTCTATTTATAGTCTTTTTGGAGGCGTAAAATGCAGGCACGAGAACAAATTTTACGCCCCCAAAAAGACTATAAATAATAGAGCATCGAACAATTAGATCACTAGCCTGATGATCGCGCAAGTTGGATGGCTCAGTTCTATAGGATCTTCCTTTGGAACAATTTCAGTTTTTCGGCGTTTCCCTGTGATTTTATTTTTATAGATAAATATGTTTGAAGGCTTTGTCAAATTGTTAAAACAGTTTTTGTTCTATAGAAAACTATTTCAAAGATAACTATAAATATTACCATTTCCTTGCATTATCAATCTTTTTATCTCATATACTTCTTTCAACAATCGATCGTCACGTTCTTCCCAAGACCTTAGGATACCATTATAATATTCCTGATCATCGGGATCCATTGCCTCGACAAGAAGACTTCTAATATCAGCCTCAACTTGCCTTCCTCCAAGTCTGATCAGCAAAGTAGAAATTTCTTCCCAGTATTTCGAAAATTCGGCATTTGTTAAGTGCATCTGCGGCATGTGGGCAAACAGCTCATTCCTGTAATGCTTTATTCGAACTAAATCTGCCTCGAGACTCAAATCTGAAATCAGAACGAGCCGAACTGAACATAACCAAAAGTTCCACAAGTTTGTCGAGAGATTCGAAAATGTTAGAAAATTAGAAAATATATGTTTATTGTGTGTTTATTAATCATATTCATGGAAATGATAACCCATCAATGGCAATAATCAATGCTATACTCAGTCACTTCATTATTATGGAGGGATTCAATGAGGATACTTTTTATTTTGCTATACTTCCGAAGATATTACACACCAACATTGATTGCCCCGACAGTAATAGTTGTGTGTTCTCTATTCTATCCGCGACAACCTAACCACGATAACCTTGAAATAGTTTATGATTACATGTACTATAACCATTTACAAACCACTTATGTTATAATTAACTAACCGCTTATGGGAGGCATTACAGTCCATCCTGTTGTTGGCGGTGACAATCCACACAGATTCCTTAGTAGGAGGAATAACAGTGTGATGTCAAACGTTTGTGAATTCACAGAACCCTTTACACTAGGATATAATGTATTCCACTGCTTCGTATTTAGGATCCTTTTGGCCTTTAGATGTTTCAGAATGGTAAAGCTTCTAGCATTGGTCAAGACCAAATGCAGCTTTAAAGGTGGATGTATTGAGTCAAATACCCCTCTTAGTACATGAGTGCCAATGTTTATAAGCAGTCGAGATAAGCGGGCAAAATTTGTTTCCTCTTGAGATGAATGAGGAGCTGCCATTTCTTTTGGACTTTAATTTAGATGATCCTGAAATTATAAAAGGATCCCTGCAATTTTAAGGCCGGGTAGATAATCGTTGGAAATCTAAAAAGCGATCCGTAAAAGAGGAATAGCCTTACAAAGATGATATGGGTGTGGTTAGCAACATAAGATTTTTTACCTTAGTGCATTAGTCAATTGAAAGACCCCCCCGGGAAATACCAGGCCGGAATCAAACGTTTTAGTGTTGTTAAAATGCTTAAAACGATTCTGTATTTTTTGTGTTTTATTACAGTCAAAAGACATGAAGCACGCCCCCCGAAGACTTCATTATTCAAGTCATTATTGGATTTTCCATTATATTTGTCGTTTTCAAACTTCAGTTGGTATATGCAAAATTGAATTCAAATCGCGAACTCTATTGTATAACGGGACGACACAATAAACCCGCTCCGAATGGCATTTGTGGAGAGGAAATAAAGCGCAATATAAGTAAGAGTTAGTTACTGAGTCTAAAAACTGAAATAGCACGTGCTTTACGAATATCAAAGAGCTCCGTTAAGAAAATAACACGGCATTTACAGCTTTTTACTTTCTCAACCAAAGTAACAGACAATGTATTGCAATGCATCGAGTTGTGAAATATACAAAAGCCCAGCATGTTGTGCCAACGAAACTACGAAGAAAGCTCAGTTTTGGCAAGGATGACGTTTATGAAAATCCGATCTCTACTAACTTAATAACTCTGAACTTTCAAATTTGATTTCAATAATGTAATGTTGAATCAACCAAGAATCGAATAATTAATGAATTGAATAATGGTGTTGTTTTTTTATTTTTTATTTTTTATGGGGGGGAGGGGGGCGTGCTTCATGTCTTTTGACTGTAATTCATAAATATATTGATGAATAAACGCACACACAAAAAATCGAAAACAAAACAAGAAAAGCGAATGAAGCGCGTGAGTATAGTGAGAAATATATAAGTAGATAAGTTTTGCTAATTCAACCAATTCAACCTCGTTCCCAGGGCCTTATCCCTTCGCGTTTGATGCTAATTGTCATGGTGAAAATAAGTTTTTTAAAATAAAAATATCTTAATGTTCGATTTGAAAGATGCCACTGAAGGTGAAGCTTTTATTAAATTCTGGCAGATCATTCCATAACTAGATGCAGCATAGGAGAATGATGTGCGATGGCCATATATGACTTGTTCTGACAGTGAGGATGACAAGAAGTGATCGGTTACAGGTCATTTCCGATTAGAGTCTGAATTTCAATATTTTCCGTGTTGAACAAAGCCCTTTTCTATGCAATCCAGATTATTCGATAGTCGATTCGGAGGTCCCATAATCACTTGATATTACAGGGACCGCGTGCAGAGTATCAAAAACGAAATTTAAGGACTTTTCAAGGGCTTTTTCCAGGACCAAAATTGTATTTTCAAGGAGCATCATAATCATGCTACATTCTTACCTCAAAACTTCAGCCGAACGGAATAATTCAGAGATCGCTAGCGCTTGGTGATAGAGATCTATGCCTCGTCCCCATCAAATCGATAAATAAATACTTCGAATTCTAAATAGGTCGACTAAATTATTGGTTATAATCTCGTGGAATTTGCTAGTGACAAGCCTTCATGGTATGGTTAAATATCACGCAGTGCTTCGAAACATGAACGGTGGCAAGCTAGCAGAGTCTCGGCTAGTATAGCTCTAGTTATAGTTCCCGACTTGTGGTATACACATCATTGCTAGTAAATTCTCTGCTAGTTCATGTCTCAGAGTCTTTGCAAAGTATTTGTCCTCGGAAAACTAAACAATCGTCGCACCCTTAAATGGATTGACTATGGTTTTGTTGGAGCTCAAACGAAAGAAAACACTGAATAAATGAAAGCGATTCTACCGCACTAAAATTCATGCACTGAAATAAAACTGTGTTGAAAATTTTGCTAACATGTCGGCCTACCTTAGTACCCAACGTTTGTTCCTGAAATGCAGGACTTAAACTGTGGAAAAAGTGTCAGGAACTGATGACTCTTGATCAAAGTAACCAGACAGGAAGAGCTTGGGAAGGTACGTTCATTGGGGAGGGGACGGGTCTGGAGCCTCGAAATGGTGCTTCATACATAAGAAGCAGCATCAAAATTTGGTGGGAATTATATACAATTAAGGCAATCTATCTATCTAACTTACCTGGCCCTTAAATGGAAGACGTCGTTACAATTAGACTGAACCGTGAACTTTCAGCTAAGCTACTCTCTTTTATACATACTGTAGCCCTCATTATAGCCAATTACATTGTTACTAAGTATAGATATTACACCACTACATCTCCATAGTGCGATGGCGGTTGTCATGAACCCTGCTGTTTACTCCATTGTTTTCTCATGATCAATCATAAAATTCCAACAGTCCGTGAAGACATGTGAAGACCCTAAAATGACTCCCTCGATGTCTCTCAAAAATGCTGGAAATCGCATTTTCAAGAGTTATTATATCAAAATTTTGTGGAGTAGGTCCAGACTCCCTTAATACTCAAGGCTTTGGCGGTCGTTATACCCCCAGATCCAAAATATGTGTCGCGCGGTCCACGACATGTGCGTACTAGTCCACGCTACGCGCCTGTACAACATTTGTCAACAAGCATTTATCACTTCGAGTATTTGTCCTTGGGAGATCATCGACAAAGTGAAATGAGAAAGATTGACTTAAAGAAATAGGGAAGAGAGAAGAGAGAAAGAAAGGGCGTAATGATCAAGTGAAGCTTCCCAACCCCCTTGCTCCGCATTCTCTGATATAAGTAATGGTGGTTATGTCGCGCTCAGGTATTTCTGCACACAAACTATCATTAGAGTTGGGAAGATATAATGGAATTCCATACGAACAACTCTTTTGTCACTTTATGTGTGACTCCAAGAGCTGTTGGTGACGAGTTCCATTATCTAATGACATGTAATAATGTTAAAATTGTTCTTATTAGAAAATCTTTTTTGGAGACCCTTTTTAGCATAAATAATTCTTTTAAAACAATAATAGAAACTAAACCCTGACAGCAGGGTGTACTCGTGACCTAAAGGTGTTGAAAAGTTTAAAACTTTTCACTTGTTCGCCTATACGTCCAACCATGTAAATAAATCACGAAGTGATTTGTAATCACATATATTAAGATTAAAATTTGTGAAAGTAACTCCTTGTTGATTACTAAATGTGGCTTTGAATTTTTTTCTAACTCTTAAAGAGTTTAAGAGACTGTTTTAGTTATTTTTATTTTGTTGTTTTGAAATATAGCGAAACACAAAGACCAGGACGCTTGCAGCTTAAGCAGAGATCAGTCTCAGACGAAGGGAACAAGAACAGGTAGAAGAATATTTCTTCAGTTTTATTTGCTCTAAGCAGTATTACCACCATTACCACAGTCTTGGACACCATTACCACAGTCTTGACAGACAGTCATAACTTGTCTGCTGACAAACTGTTGAAATACTGAATGATTTCTACTCTCCACAGGTTTGAGGCTATTCGAAAGCCACTTGGTCCCGATGGCACACGTGGTTTTACATACCAAAGAACACTCAAAAACCCGATCCAGTCTCACGACATTCCTTCAGAGCCACAGGATACCCAAGCTGACGAACCCGGAGAACAAAACGAAAACGAGGGCGATATCTTAGAAGAATTAGTAGCAAAGCTTTGTGATCTAGATTGATTGGTTAATGCGGTGATGAACGAGTTTGATTGGATGGCCGTGTAAATTGTAAGATATTGATTGATCAATTGAGTATTAATTCATTTGATTGGTCCTGGACGTTGATTGGTTAAGATGTCGTTGTATCTGGGAAATGCCTTTTATTATTGTCGTATATTTTTTGCTTAGATGTCTTTAGGTTTTATTTTGATGTTATGTGTTTGTAAACTAAAGTATAGAATAAATGAATTTGCAAGTGCAGAAGTGTTTTGGTCTTGGAGAGGAAAAAGGGAAAAGTAAAGTGGGGTGGAAGATATATGATTCTAAAGGCGCGTTTACACTATGCGATGTTTTACAGCGCTAATGTCGCGCGACAATCGCCACTTTGCTGTCGTACAACTCAAATCATACGTGTATTTACACGTTTAAACACCCTGTGATTGTTGGAAGTTGCAGAGAAATTTCGACCATGCGCAAAACTCGGGCGACGGTCGCTGCGACGTTTGCGCTGCAAAAATCAAGTGTGCATGAACGGGGCTTAAGAGAACGAAAGAAGGCGAACATTTTAGATAATTATTTATCCCACATTAGGGAAAGCAAGTCATCTGTTGAGAAGGGACGTGCTGCTATCTGTCTTTCTTTCAAAACCTAGTGAAGGTCTATGTTTTGATACTAAAACTGAGACCTTTGCTAGTGTTAAGTTGTCTTGGTTTGTCAATGGTGACGACCGTGTTGTAAGTCTGATACAACACTAGTGTTGTGTCAGATTTACAAGGTCAATCACCTGACCAAATAGACAGCCCTTATTGGAGTAATAGTTCATGCATTATTAATGAGTTGTTTTTTTTATAAGAATAATAATCATATGCACGATTGATTATAATACTACAATTCATGGACACAGTCGGTTGAATAACAGARATGAGGGAAATGTTTGGTGTTTTTAACAACTACATATTTTCATTGACATGATACTTTACTTTGAGCATAACGTTTCTTAATGTTTTTTTATTGCAAATTCCACGCATTTGAAACCATGGGCACTGGCATCAGTAGGTGGAGGGACCTGCAGGAGGACGTTAGGCAGAAGACATTTTAACTAAAATTTTAATATGCACACTTGATTAACAGTTCAATGTCAGAGTAATATAGTTGGGCTTATGCTTATGCTCTTCCATAGACGAAGAAGAATTCCTTTCTTTGATACAGATCTAACCGACGTGCCTCGCTTTCGAAGTCGCAATAGGATTCCTCACCAGTAGAGTCGTAAACCACATCTTTGATACCAGCATTTCTCAAACTCCCTAAAACCATCTCCTTTGTCAGTGGGAAACTGTAAAACTTTTYTCCGCCGACTGTGTARTACGAACCCTCCAGTTTGCCAATAAGGACAAGGTATCCACCTGGCCGAACCAGACTTCCGAGAAATGAAACTGCATCTTTATACTCATCTTCACTTTCGACTGCAACTTCAAGGGTAAGGCAAGTGGATACGACGTCAAATGGCGGACCGTACTGTTTAGAGGCGGTAGGAATCTCAAGACGGTTTGGTGACTTAACGTCGCAAGGGACGATAGCTTTGATCTTTTCTCTGACTTCAGATTCTCTTTTRTCGACTTCTTCAGATGACTTTTCCTCTAAAGTCTGTACGACATACTCAAACGACGGTCTCCAGTTGAAGGCTTGTGGCTCTTGAGCGATCCAGTCTTGGAGAGCTTTTCGATTTGCTTCTAAATACTCTGCAGCAACAATATTCTGAGCGTAATGGGATGGACTTATGAATCTTGAGATAGTTGGTCCAGCTCCATACTCCAGCAAACTCACGACTTCTCCTTTCACAATCTCGCTCCAAAAGTGATGTTGTTTTGTGAGAAAAAACATGTCCAGCTTTSTGGGGTCGTCAAAATAGCATTCAAAGTATGCTTTAGGATCAAAATACCTTTTATAATCGGTGGTCATGGCTTTGTTAACTATTGGGATTATCGAGTGAAGCTACTGCAACTTTTTAAGGAGTACTTAAGGTGTAACCCTTAAAATTGAGTGTATGAAATTGCACGGTCAGCTGTGCACGGTAGTAAGTCGACCGAGGTGTCATCATCTGCCTGCTAAGTGTGATGTTGTCTAGTCAGCTGTAACGACTACAGCTCTTAGGCAATCACTGAAGACTCTTGGATGTTTTAAAACAACGAGAATACACGAAATAAATGTGCAAAAACCATGTTAACTTTCATGCGGCTGTTACTCGGCATTGAACACTTGTATAGGGAGCCCTTTGAAATTTCTCTCTACTTTGACTCGTCTT